TAGTCCACGAAAGCTTATGCTCTAATAAATTTGTTAGTCTCTAAGGTGCCACAAGTACTCCTGTTCTTCTTTTTACTTTTCTGTGTGTTTCTGTACTGAATGCACCAGCTGTTCACTCTATCCGTTTTGTACTGAAGTTTGGCTTTGCATTATGAAAAATCCATACCCTTGTAGGACAGCATGGTTGTCACTGATGCGTTGAATAATATGGCCAGTTGGAACTACTTCTTGGTAATAATAGGGGTTAGACACCCTAAAGGCTCAGGCCTCCCGATACTTGGGCTAATCGAGAATCTCCTTTTAGCAATATATAAACACAGTCAACCTGTGGAACTCCTTGCCAGAGGATGTTGTGAAGGCCAAGACCTAACAGGGTTCAAAAAAGAACTAGATACATTCATGGAGGATAGGTCCATCAATGGCTATTAGCCAGGATGGGCAGGAATGGTGTCCCTAGCCTCTGTTTGCCAGAAGCTGGGAATGGGTGACAGGTGGATCACTTGATGATTACCTGTTCTGTTCATTCCCTCTGTTGGAAGACAGGATACTGGGCTAGATGGACCTTTGGTCTGACCCAGTAGGGGCATTTTTGTATGGCCAGACACACAGCTGAGCAGTTCTGAGTGCAGCAAGTAGAGGGCAGTGATGTGTGCGTATGGAGCCATATAATGTACACATACAAGCTTGGTCCTTACCATGTTTCTATGCTTGAAATGAAGGGATCCAGACAATTTCTTTGTAAATCTCTTGGAAGTTGTGTTTTACCCTGTATTCCGCAGCCCTTTGTCCAGCTGAGTTTAAAGGGACCTTGTTCAAGTTGAAAATCCTTTTTAATTAAATCCTCTCCCTTGTTTCTAATAACATCTTCAAACGTTGAAATTGAGAAGTAAAGAAATCTGACGTACTTTCAGCATTTCTGCTGGTCTTGCATTTTAGGTTTCACTCAGTCTGGCAACTGAAAGCAGCCTCGTCAGTTTCATGTTCGTCTCTAGTCTGTTTTCCTTTCCTGGTCTCATGCTCCTGCACGGTACTGCAATGTTGTTGAGTTTATTTTTTTTCATGGGAATGTTTCTAATAATTTTTTGTAAAATTTTGTTGTTGCAAAAACCTAAATTTGGCTGAAATCTGACCTGCCAGGGCCCAATTTTCCTCCCATTCAAATCAACAAAACTTCAATTGGGTTCAGAGGGAGCTTTCCAGTTCTTTTTTATTCCATGGGGGCTCTGAGGAATACCACCACCTTTGTATTTACCCCCTTGGGGAGTCCCTGTGTTACGCTGCTGATCACATGGAGTGATGTCTTGCTGTTGCATCAGCCAGGACCATATATGGGGGGGGGGGACGACCCCTTGGGTCCCAGCAGGCAAATGGAGAAAGTCCCGAGATTGCTAATACTGTTTCACTTAGGGCAGGTCTTCATTACAGGGGGGGTTGATTTAAGGTATGCAAATTCAGCTACGCGAATAGCGTAGCTGAATTTGACGTATCGGAGCAGACTTACCCCGCTGTGAGGACGGCGGCAAAATCGACCTCCACAGCTCCCCATCGACGGCGCTTACTCCCACCTCCACTGGTGGAGTAAGAGCGTCGATTCGGGGATCGATTGTCGCGTCCCGACGAGACGCGATAATTCGATCCCCGAGAGATCGATTTCTACCCGCCGATTCAGGCGGGTAGTGTAGACCTAGCCTTAGAGCAGTGGTGCAGAATAGGGGTGCTGAACTGGTGGATAGAAAAACCCTGGCTTTATGCCATTCCCAGTGATAGAATCCTTGCAATCGGGGCCTTGTACGGGAGGATGCCCAGAGACAGAGCAGGTGAGCTTTGGCTGGATTTTGTTAAAGGATGGAAAGTAACCCTGACCAGCTGTGACTTGTCCTCACGTAGGTTTACGTCACCTATAACGGGCAGGAGTGCGCTGGCCTGGTAGAGCAGCACAGTCAGCTGAACGACGAGGTGCAGGTGCTGCTCGAGGTGCAGGGAGTGCACACCTGCTGGAAGACCGAGGACGTGAGACTGGCTGAGATGCAAAGATCGCCGCCCCCTACCCTTCCGATGGACCATAGCCCTGCCACTGCGATGGATCAGAGCCCTGCCACTGGATCAGTTCAGAGATCGGTTTCTAGGAATATTGATGTACCTAAAAGGTATGTGTCCTCGGCTGGTTGGCACTTTTAGCTTTGGAGACTGATTCTGTTCCATCTTGCCTGGTTCAATAGCTGGGCACGTGCACTGGTTGCTTACAGAATCCCTCCTCTCTTTCTGTTCTAAACTACTATGTAATGTTGCTGAAAGCTGTTAAACAGCGACTGGATTCTACTCCAGAGGTGGCTGCATTTCCATGTGGGGGTGAAATGATCCCTGTGTATCGTTTATAAAATGCCCTAGAATCCTATAGTCTAAAGCATATTTATGGAAACAGTTGCACGTGGCAACATAAAATGTGAGATGCTGAATTCTGGTTCTGCTCATGGTCACTATGGCTAACATAGAATCCGAGTCCCCTGGTTTGGGAGGGCTCATGGGCGTAGTAAAAATCTATCGGGAGTCTGCAGCGGAGCTGTAAAATTGCACTGGAAGCTCAAAATAAAGCTCAGGCACTAATTCTAGAATGGTCCTTAGTGTGTGTTTACCCAGAGCAGTAAAATGCTGTTTGTTTCAGAGTATGATGAGAAATGAGCCATCTCCTATCTCTGCCTTGTTCGTAGGTGGATGAGACCACGTCATTGTGACGTGCTGTGTCAGCCTCTCCAAAGGGTGGATTATCCAGAGTGCTGTTGAATTTAGGATTAAGAGGATTTTTTTATGGTGGTTTAGGAGAAAAAAAATGTTCTCTGCTAAAGCAAACTTCCCTCGTGGCAAGTTAGAAATCGCTCCGGTTCTGTTTGGCCCGGGACAGCAGAGTGGGGAGAGGTCACAGGGGAAAAGAGACATGTGGTGAGACATGCAGCCTCAGTATGTGAACACTTTAGGATTGGGAAGCTAAGCAGGTTCGGGTCTGATCAGTGCTTGCATGGGTGACTTCCAAGGGAACCACTTGGAGGCAGAGGAAGTTAGCTACAGCTGGATTGTTTTCTGAACCCTGGCCTCTGTGTGCTGCTAGGGGCAACATGTTGCTACAGAGGTTGTGTAAATGCATGAGAATTTAAACAGAGGACCTAGTCGTTTTGTGGAGCAGTTCTTACCCCCAGAGCCACTGTTCACATGCGCCTACAATAATCCTCAATTTCAACTTCCACTTAAACTGTTAAATACAAAAGTCTCTCCCGAGCCCCAGCCGCTGTTCCCTGGTCTGTGCTGCACTGATCCTTTCATAAGCATGAGTCTTAGAGCAGCAGCATTGCTCGTGCTGTGACTAAGCAGTAGTGTCCCCACCCATGCGCTCGCTTTGCTGGGGTTTTGGGGGAGGGACAGACACCTAGGACTCAGGGCTGGATTTTTAAAGGTATTTAAGCTGTTAAAGATGCAATGGGAGGCACTTTTGAAAATCCCACTTGATGCCGCTTGGCACCTTTAGGCATCTAAATTCCTCTCAGAATCTGGGCCTGACTCCAGATGGGGAACAGACTGAGTCGAGATCCCCAGGCTGGCTTGCTGCTGCAGTGGGGTGGGGGAACGAATCCTGGCAGAGATGGGGAGCTCAGGGCCAGGCCACTGAGAAGTTGCAGCTGCTGTTAAAAAGCAGCGCCAAGGGAACGTCTTCTCTTGAGGGTCTCCTGTCTCATTGCCAGAAGCTACCTTCCTGCCGGGGCGGATGTAGTAGGTAGCATTTTTCTCCCCAGTCCTCCCCCCAGCCATCAGCTTAACCTCTCGCATGAGTGATGGGCTTTCTATACACAGGAAGGCACGCTGGGATCCTGTGGAAAGGAAGGAGGTACAAAAAAGTAAACAATTATCATTAGACCCCTGTGGGTCCAATCAGCCCTGAGTGTAACACCTTTGGCTTCTGTGTTTGCTCCAGTGGCCCTTTTGATCGTAGGGGGTCTTTGACATCGAATCCTCGCCTTGTCTCCTGAATATCTGCCTTCCCCTCCCCCACTGAAGTCTTTAATGTTTCTCCGTCTCCTGGTGCAGGAAGTTGGATGCTGCTGTGGAAATGGACGAGATGATGGCAGCTATGGTGCTGACTAGCTTGTCCTGCAGCCCTGTGGTGCAGAGCCCGCCCAGCCGCGAAAGCAGCATGCCGGGTGAGTCCGACCGTGCAGCTGGACGCTGGGGTCCCAAACCTGCCTGCCTCTGTATTTCAGCAACCAGAGGCTGAATTGAATTGTTTTTGTGGTACCCCTGAAGAAGGAGGGGAAAACTGCTCACCTCAAACAATAAGTTTTCCCAGGTAACCGGAGCCCCAAGTGCAATGTGAGCAGATAGCTGTCTGACTGCCACTTCCATCTCATTGCACTCTCTGATGTCCCAGCATGCTCTCTGCTGGTGATGTCACCTTCGCCATGAAACTCTGCTGCAGACTGGAGCCAGCGTTTGGGGTCAGGTACCTAGAGAGGCCACGTGCTGCAGTGGATAAGCCATTGGGCTGGAAGTCAGTCGTCTGATCCATTCTAATGCATCTCCGGATCGAGAATGTGGTTGGAGATGTTCTCTGTCTATGTGCTGGTGAAGGAATTATCGGTGGGGGCTCGACGGCTGTGGGTACATACAGAACTCTATCTGCCTGGCTGTGTTGGTGGGGGGGTGTGCTCTGACCGACGTAGCTGTGCCAGCAGAAGCCCCTCGTGTAGACGCACTCGTTCTAGCAAACCTGTCCTTTTCTGGGTTTGGGGCAGCTGGAATAAACCAGGCTGGTAAAAGCACAGCTTTGCTGGTAGAAGCTGCATCCATACTGGGAGTGCTGTGGTAGTAGAGTACAGTACGCTGCCATGTACCTGAAACCCTGTTGTCCGAACCTCTGCATTATCCGAAGCCCTTCCTTGCCCCCCACCTCCCTGATGCTGGGGGACAAGGAAGGGATTCAGATAACGTAGAGGCTTGGATAAGAGCTCACAGAGCCCCCCAGCCAGGACTGTGAGGAGGAGGGGGAGCAAGAGGAGACCCCAGCCATGGGGGAGGCCACGCTGCTGCTGAATGGTTCCTGTGGCAGTGCGGGGAGCCCTCTGCCCCCCGCTGTCATGGGAGTGAGTGAGCAGGGCTGTGACTGCGGAGCTGCGGAGGGCTCCCTGTGCTGCCAAAGGGCTGGTGGCACTCGATCTCTGCAGGCACCAGGTACAGGGAAGCCTGCAGTCTTGGTGGGGCAGAGCAGAGACTCCTGGCCAGGACTGTGAGGAAGAGGAGGGTGAGCCCCACACCATGGGGTGGGGTGGGGTGGTGGGGGGTGGTGAATGTGCTGGTGAATGGCCATATGGCTTTTGCCCTCCCGATTATCCGAATAAAATCCATGTCCCCTCTGCTATCTGGCTTGATCGGGAGTAGGCATGTACCTCTATTGGTAGAGTGCTCCTCGTGTAGACATGGTGCAAGGCAACAGTTACATTGCTCCAGTGGCATGTAGCAGTCATGGGACAACCTGCCTGCAGAGGGCGAGCAATCTCCCAGGGTGATAGGGCCAGTCTCATGGGGGGGTTGGAATATCAGGACAGAGACCTCGAAACGGAGCTCCATATTTGTGGGGAGTTGGTGTGCCAGGTTCTACATGGCAACCTTTGTTACTAAGCACATGGGCTGTATTAGCTGGAGCTCTTCCGGTTGTCATTCCCAGACCTCAGGAATAGCAGTGATGGCGCCTGAAGGCCCCGCATGTCTGGGTTAGCGTGGACGCTGCCAGGTTGTGTCCGATGGGATGGGATGTGATCTTCTGGCCCGTCAGAGATGGATGTGGGAAATGTTCGCTGTCGTGGCTATTTCGGGCCAAAGGGCATGGGTCAGACAGAGCACCTGGTAGATGTCCTCCTCCCACTCACTCTCAGACTCTCAAAGGACCCAATCTGAGAGCAGGTGCCCTTGCAGTAGAGGAAGCAAGTTCTTTAAGTGCTTCCCTCTTCCTCCCAACATCGCCTTCGTCTTGCCAGGGCTCAGTTCGAGCCTGTGGCTTTCCACCTAGCTGCTGCTCGTAGCTAAGTGCTGGGAGATGGTGCCGATTGCATTGGCTGTAGAGCTGGGTCGTGTCCGCGCACACCTGGCATTCAGCCTGCATTTTCCCAACAGCATCCTGTAGACCTGGAATAAAATGAGGGAGAGGATTGAGACTGCGGGGATGGGGGTCGGGGGGCTGGAGGGGTCTGTGACGACCCTGTGAGCTCAGCCTGAGAAGAAGGACTTGAGCCATTTTCAAGTGATTCCGGGCACCCTCGCAACTTCTTGGAGGCTGGAGAAGAGTCTTTGGTGCTAAATGACAAGTCAGTCAAATGCAGCAGAGAAGTGCAGCCAGCCGACTGGCTGGAATTCCCCTGTCAGTGAGTGGGAGGAAGACATCTACCAGGTGCTCTGTCTGACCCATGCCCTGGCCCGTCCTGACTGAGAGGGATCCAGGATACTGGCAGCTGACAGCCGGTAGCTTCTTGATTAGACTTGGGTCTAATTCCCAGCTCCTTAGACAGGTCACATAACCCTCTGTGCCCCAGGTTTCAGGTCTGTAAAATATGGTCTATGGCTGAAAGGCATTTTATTGTACAAGCACCGGCTTGTATTTGAAATATCCCTACTTGGTTTGTTAATTTTGTTTTTTTCATCTTTTCTATCCAAAAATTTTGTAAAATAACATTTTTTAAGCCCCTCCCTATTTCAGAGAAATGTTCAGGGTCCGGTTCTGACCTCGCTCATGCTGGTGTCTGTCAGGGGAATGTGAGGTCCGAATCCCTCTTATAATATTAGACAGGGGGAAAAAGGCCAGGGACACGGCCATTCTGCAGAAGTGTCCCATGGCGTGTATGGGCCAGGAGCGGTGCTTGTCCTGGGTATCTCCTGCAGAGGGACCTTTACTGGGCTTTTGCTACAAATCCCTGCATAAGTGGGTCTGGGTGTCACGAGCAGCATGTGGGCAGGAAGGAGAGCGTAGCTTAATGTATTGAATTCCTCCCGGGAAGCCTGAGTTAGGAGTGCCGGAACCCCTGTTTTAATTGGGAGACAGCTCTTCTGGCTGCCCCCCCCCTCCTCTTATTTATTCGGAATTGTTTGTTCTAATTATCAGGCCTAACAGATTGGGATGAACCAACTGAGAATTGGGGGGAGGGGGAAGGAAGACTGGCTTTCCAAAAGAGTCTGCGCATGGGAGTGCTGGCTGTTCAGAAGCCATGGGGCTCAGCGAGCAGGGTGCTTTGGGACAACTGCTTTAATGCGGGTCTTCCTGAACAGCTGGCCAAGCTGGGAGGCCATATACATTCCTCGAGAGAGAGGAGAGCATAACCCTGCCCTGTACGATAGATCGGCAAGACCTATTCTGGGAGCCGCAGGCATGGGAGCACGGAGTGTCCGGCTCCTTTTTTTAGCAGTGGCTCCATTTCCAAGTAGTCAAGTGGATGTAGGTGGTTAAAAATAGGCATCTGCAGCTGTGGGAAATGGCCATGTCCTGCCACTGGCTCACTCTCTGCGCGGGGACTTGGCTCTAACTAGCAACAGGCAAGCCCTCGAGGGGCTAGGCCTGAGAGTCTCTGCCACAGCCCTGCCCAGAACGGCTGGAAACGGAAACCGGGTTAAAGCGGAATAAATGAACTTGCATTCAGACCATCCGTCACTAAAGGCACAGCTAAGCTCTTCCGTGGAGAGAGTGCAGGCAGGGCAGCTGGGCCAGTGTCCTACATTATAACGTGCATTCCCCTAGAGAGCAGCTGTGTCTCGCTGAACAGCCCAGCAGCTTCCGTGCCCTTAATTGAAAAAGACGCTGCAAGAGTCTATTGAGACATTGGCGGGAGGGATAGCTCAGTGGTTTGAGCATTGGCCTGCTAAACCCAGGGTTGTGAGTTCAATCCTTCAGGGGGCCATTTAGAGATCTGGGGATTGGTCTGTTGGACTAGATGACCTCCTGAGGTCTCTTCCAATCCTGATATAATCAGCCTTCTGTGCCATCTGGGGAAAAGTTTGTCTTCAGGTCGATGGAGCCTTTTGGTTCCTGGGGGAGTAAATCTCCATGCCAAACCAGATTCCCAGTTCCGGCTGGGCCAGTGATGATGTGAGAGAGGCTTTATTGTGGTATTTCAGCCCTCCTGTTGCCATCCTGGCTAGAACCTGTAGCTGCAGAATTGTTGGAGGAGGAGGAAGATTCTCTGCTCTTCTCTGAAATCTTCCATCCAGGGCTCTCAAAACGCTTTACGACAGTGATCAAACGAATCCTGTGAGGTAGGCAGCATTAGCTGCATTTTACGGAAGGAGACGCAAAGGCAGAGGGGGAGGCACAGGGCCACGCAGTGAAGCGTTGAGAGAGCTGGGCATAGAATCCAGGGCTCCTGGTTCGCAGTCCTGTGCAGTAGGGAGAAGGTAAATGTTACACATGTTTTGATCCTGAGGCCTGTGTTTTAAGTTTTGGGCCAAAGGTCTGTGTTCTGATTGCGTCCACGGCATCCTTAATGGCGACGTAACCCTGGGGAAAGTGCGTTATGTGTCTCCCCACCCTGTCTGATCCACAGAGGATGCGTGTGTTACAGGCCCTGGTGCTTGGTCGAGCTGTAGGGATGGATGCTTGTAGCTTCAGAGGTCCGTGATTCAATCCTGGGTGTTGGTCAAGATGGAGGTAATTGAACAGACCGACTGGAGAGGGGCAGGGGGCTGGGAGCAGAGCTACCGCATCCCGCAGGCAGGAGCTATGTTTGTGCCTATTGGTTTTAATGTCTGTTCCCGTCTCCTCTTTTCCCCTGACTCAGCGTCCCAGGCAGCCTGCGACTCATGGAAGGAGAGTGGCGACGTGTCAGACAGCGGCAGCAGCACCACCAGCGGGCACTGGAGTGGCGGCAGCGACATCTCCACCCCATCACCCCCGCATCCTGAAGCCAGCCCCAAGTACTCGAGCGAGGCCTTGAGCTCCCCTCAGGCTGACGACGGCTTTGAGACAGACTCGGATCCCTTTCTTCTCGATGAGCCTGCCCCAAGAAAGAGAAAGGTACCGAGGGCAGGAGGGACAGGGGGAACTTTGCTGTGAACTCGCAGTCATGGGATCTGCACTGCCCAGTGAAACTGACAAGGTGTTTAAGTTTCACCTGTCTCTGAAGCTAGCAGGAGAGAGTGGAAGCAAAGTGCCTCTTACTAACCCTTGGCAAGCTTCACCTTGAAATCCCAGAGCAGAAGGGGTGCTGGGGATGGGAGAAGGGAAGAGACCCCAGGGATACAAAGGGGATTGGCGGGGAAGAAGAGACAGTAGTCCAAGGGTCAGTTGCCTGCCATCTCCCCAGATCCTGCTAGTGACTCCGGAGTGCTCCCTGCTCCCTTTCACTCCTGTCCTTCACCAGCATTTCCTACTCTGCCTGATATCTATGGCCAGAGTAGGGAGCCAGGGGTGGGTCAGGGGAGTGCTCTGTTCCATGCACCGAGCTCTTTCTCGGCTCAGTTCCCTGCTCTGTCCACATGGGCCAGGTGGAGCAGGCACACTGATCATCAAAGGGGCCGGAGGGAAGGAATGTAGGAATGTATGGGCAACAAGCAGCTTTGATGTAAACTTTAGGGCAAGAGAAAGAGTAGCGGAAAGGGAGAAACGGGCAGGATGGGAGGGGGATGTAAATCCAGACAACTGGCGTCTTCCTTGTGTCTGGCTGAAACTTGGCACCTCTGTGGACTGGCACCTTGAGAGGGCCAGGGAGGCCCAGGATTGTGTGTGGGGTGGATGGGACAAAAGGGCAGCATCGTGGAGCCTGTTTGCAGTGATCCTGAATGAATCTTAATTCTCTGAGGCTGTTTCTGTCCCTTCTGAGCTGGGCTAGGGAGTAACCTTTCCGTGCCATGGGGCTGTCTTTCTCCTAGAACTCGGTGAAGGTGATGTACAAGTGCCTGTGGCCAAACTGTGGTAAAGTCCTGCGATCCATTGTCGGGATCAAGCGTCACATCAAGACTCAGCACCTTGGGTAAGACCTTGAATGGTGATTAACCTGCAGAACCCAAGCAGGGCTGGGGGGGGGGGGGCTGGGGGGCAGAAGGAAGAAGGAATTCCACAGGCTCACAGAATTAAAAGATGGAATCGATTTGGCAGGACATAGTCTCCCAATTGAGGATGTATTGGGTGTCAAACTGGTACTGCCCTGGCCTGTATGAAATGAGTTTGGAGGTTCTCAGTCCAGTGCCCACCAGTTATCCATGTCACCAAAGCCACCATCATTGTTGTCCCTATGCGTCAGCAGTCTCTGCAATGAGGCCAGGGATTGAAGGGGCCCTGGGGAATGAACTTCCCTCTCACCCTTGAAGAGGAATCCCATTGGGGCAGGGCTAATGCACTGCGGCTGCTTGGTGGGTAAAGCACGTCAGTCTCCAGAGCTGTGGGTGCAGAGTTCCTGTCACCAGCGCTTAGGGCAGATGCCAAAGGATTTGCTGCTGCACTTGATCTCCACTAAACCTGCTGCTTGGACTAGTAGGGAGGGCAGGAAGCTACCCTGGCTAGAGAATTGCTGCTGGCCCAGATGGCTGGTGGCTGCCATAACCTGCTTTCTAGCCCTCCCCGAGCCCTGTCCCTCTCGGACACCACCGGGATGGGCCGCATATAGTAGCTCAGGGCTGCGTTGCCCACCCCGTGCCCTTCCCTTCTGTTCTCTTCTCCATCTTTCCATCCTTTTCTCCCTCCCCCATCTCTCTGTGTCCCTCTTCCCTCACGTTTCCTGCTCCCTTGCTCTGTTAACTCTTCTCCTCCTGCCTTCCACCCCCACCTACACCCAAGAATACAATAAGAAAAGGTAGATTTGCCAACCATCATTCTGCTCGTGCATCGCATCCCTTTTCTCCAGCCTCTCTGTCTTGTCTATTTTAAAGCAGAAGCGCTTTGGGACAGGAACTGTTTGTTTGTGTGATGGCTGCCGCTTTGGCCAACACCCGGGAGCGAACCGGGGGCCTCCAGAGCTAAAATTATGAGTCTCTGCAGCCCGAGCTAAGAGGTGGGCGGGAAGTGAGGTTGTATCAGGCTCATACAGAGGGGGATGCATTACTGACCAGTGCGTTACATTTGGCACAATGGAGGCCCTAATTCTGTTTAGGGCCTTTGGACACCGCTAAAATACAAATAAATAACAATGACAGAGATTGGGGGGTATCAAGAAGGGGAGATGGGATGTATCTTTAAGGTCCTTCTCTGCCCCCCCTCCCGCCCCCCAGGGTAGTAGGAACTGAGACAGTTAAAACTGGTATTTCTTGGAAACAAGCCCTTTGCTTTATGCTCCTTTTTAAGCTGCTAATTAACTGAACAGAACTCAAGTAATGACTATAGTCCAGTGGTTCTCAAACTTTTGTACTGGTGCCCCCTTTCACATAGCAAGCCTCTGAGTGCAACCCCCCTTTAGAAATTAAAAACACATTTTAATATATTTAACACCATTATAAATGCTGGAGGCAAAGTGTGGTTTGGGGTGGAGACTGACAGCTCGCGACCCCCCATGTAATACCCTTGTGACCCCCTGAGGGGTCCTGACCCCCAGTTTGATAACCCCTGCTATAATCAAGTATCAGAGGGGTAGACTAACAGACGCGTTGGAGCATAAGCTTTCGTGGGTGAATGCCCACTTTGTCAGACGCATAGTCGCTCAGTTCACCTAAGGCCTGTTTCTGATGTGGCGGGGCCCCCTAGTGGCAATTCAGGGTTTGCAAATTCTCTAAAGCGAAGGAATGTAAAGGTGGGACATGAGTGAGCTGTAAGTGCCTCTCTCCCAGCCCATCAAGGGCCCAGAGTAAAGAATAAGTGGCTGCACCTCCAGCCAGGGGGGCCCCTTGCTGCCCCGTCCGACTGATTCAAGCACAAGCCGCAAAGTGTGACACTTCTGCATTTGTACAGCAACTGTGGTACAGTGAGGAAAGAGGTTTATATCACATAAGAGCAGGACGTGCAGGGGAAGCTAACGTCCCGTCAAACCTCCTGCTTTGCTAATGTTTAAAAAAAAAAAAAAAATACCAGCCTCAAATGGAAGTTGGTTTTAGTTTAGTTTTTGTGTTCCATGGTCTCCCTGCTGTACTGTACAAGTTGTCACAGAAGAGAAGCTGTGTCTGAGCATAGGGCTGGGAGCCAGGAACTCCTGGGTTCAAAGCCATGGCCATGGGCAAGTCACAGTCTGTCCGTCCCCTTGTGCCTCAGTTTCCCCATGTGCAAAATGGGGATAATTCTTCCCCTTCTTGTAGGGATATCGTGGTGTTGTCCATTCTAAAAACCCATGGCTGCCACTCAGTCCCCCATGCCAATGTGGTTTTACAGCCTCACATTTTCCTGTTTTGTGAAATTTGTTTTTTTCTCTCGCCTTGTTTCCACGGGAACGCTCCAAACAAACAATGGGGGAAACTAACTATACAGAGGACGTGGGGAAAGTGACAAAACACGAAATACTGTCAGGTGCACAAAATAAACGTGCTGGCAATCTAGAGAAAAAACCTCTTTTCTAATTTCTTTCCTACACTCCTCTCGGGTTTTATTTGCAACAATGACAGATAAAACAAAATTAGTAAGCAGTGAGATTTTTGAAGCGGATGATGTCTATTTAACTAGTTAATACTTCTAAATCCCTTTGAAGATATAAGGCACCTTCCCATATATGTGCTAAATATTACTGGGGCCGTGACTGTAGACCATTGATACCCTGAAGCTTCAGGGTATGTCTGGACAGCATTTTGGAGCCCTCTGGAGCAAGCCTCCCAGCCCAGGTTAGCAAAATAGCTGTGTCGACACCGCTTTGAAGTTGCTGTTTCAGCCCCAGCTTCAAAGCGTTGTCCACACAGCTGTTTATACAGCAAGTCCCGTTAACCCAAGTCTGTCAGCCAGGTCTGGGATGCTCACTCCAGCAGGCTCTACAATGCTGTGTAGATGGTACCCTTAGAGTCCAAAGGTTTGCTTGACACGTCTTCCGTACTTTCTGATGTACGTGACACAACACAGGCGATGCTGAGCAAAGGAACCGAAGTAACTGAATCTTTATGCCGCCAGGAAAGGGAGAAAGGAAAAATATTCATTTCCCAAAAGCAGCTAACAGCACTGGATATGGTGGCAGGAAACGTAGATGGTATGAACGGGGGTCACAGAATATTGCCAGAACTGCATGCGGATGTTGCGTTACAATGTTTTACTGGGTCAGCATGTGCTGGTGCTGCTATGTGATTATTTCATAGCCCTTTGCATCTCCATGTGGGGACCAGCCAGCTCTCCGGGTTTCAGTACGACTGGTGTGGGCAAGCCCGTCAGCATTCCTGCATGGAGCAATAGCTCGCTGTTGTCTTGAGCGTCAGAACTTGCTTTGTTGGCAGAGGAAGTGTTGGCCAGGACACCTGGTCTCTTGGAAAAGTGCGTGGAATCTTTAATCCGAGCCGGGCCAAAGAGACCTTGGTTAAACAGCATAACTGAAGAAGAGAACCCTCCGCAAGGGTGACCCCACCTCACTGTCAGCTCTGAGAATGAGTTTGAAACCGGGGCAGGTCTTGAACCTGTGATTTTTATAGCTCATTGGTTGAGTGCTGCCACCCGCCTCATGCTGGCATCTCACACAGGTCTGATTGGAAGGGGGAGTTACTTAGCGTGGTTATTGACTCATACCCTTTCCCCTTTTAAACCACCACAGAGATGGCGCAGACTCTGACCAGCGGAGGAGGGAGGAAGATTTCTACTACACCGAAGTTCAGGTGAAAGAAGAAGCTGCTCCGGAGTCTGCCACCAGCCCCACCTTTGGGTCCTCGCCCATTGTCCTCCAGCAGGCCCTAGCCAAGCCAGAAGCCTTGGCTTTGGACCAAGCAACCTTGGAGTCTCACCTCCCAAACAGTGCCCTCAGTCAGTCTGCCCCCAGTTCCTTCTGGCATATCCAGGCTGATCATGCCTATCAGGTATGTTGGCCACTCATGGAAACAATGATGGAGTGGCATCTGGCATCCTCATTCTTAGGGGGCATTTGTTTTCATATCTAGTGACAAGGCTCAGAAACCAGCTGGTTACTTATAGAATCTTCCTTACCACATCAGACCATTGGTCCATCAAGGTCAGGGTCCTGCCTCTGGCAGTGACCAGTGCCTGATGCATCAGAGAAAATAACACATAATGTATTCTGTAGTGGTTGGAAGGAAGGAGAAAATCTCCTTCCTGGACCCAGCAGTTGATCAGCTAATGGTCTGATTCTCCTTGTTGTTTTGGCTTGGTTAGCTACAGAAGTTAGTGATCCTAAAATGATCCAGTTCTGTTTTAAAATCCAGCCACAATATTTGACTGTACCTCCTGCTGCAGTGAGTTCCGCAGATTGGCTATAGGTGACATAAAGTATTTTGATTTGTTGGTTTCAAATTTACTTAGTTTTGATCCAGTGTTTCCCTGATTTTCATACTGCAAGACAGCGCATGGGAGGAACTTCATTATGTCTTGTAAACATTTGCAGCCTTGGTGTCGTCCTACCTGCTGGCTAGTCCTCATAACCATGGAGCTGAGGATCCGTAACTCTTTGTTTAAATGATTAGTGGATTTCTTTCGCCAGCCTATATAACGCAGTCATTCTCTTGCTATGAGCACTCTAGTTTCCAGCCACCCTGTAATTAGCCAGCTTGGTGGTATGCAGCACGTCCCTATGTATGCAAATAAAACGCAACCAGGAATGTAACTATACCAGATCCTTGCACGTCTTGGGTATTAGGAGTCCCAGTTCAAATGCCTTTAAATACGTGGGCAGCATGGGGATCCGATGTAACTGCATCACTTGCAGTTCCCTGCTAAAACTGTTAGGCCTTCTCTACACGCACACACACACAAGGGTACCTCTTTATATCAGTTTAGTTAAAGCGATACAACTGTCCTATTGCTTATGGTGTTATACGAGTGTAGGCGTGTTTAGGCTGGTGTAGCTTATTCCTGTATGGGGAGGGGAATACGCTCTACTGATATACGGCACCTTATATCTATTTGCACGTTAGGGCTTGTACTGGTATAACTACATAGGTTAAAAAAAAAATCACACCCCTACCCAACCAAGTAATACTGGTGAAAAACTGTGTAGACCAGGCCTTACAGCCCAGGATATCCCTGTGTTACAGAGGGGACAATGCATAAGCATTTCCACTGTAGCTCCCTGTCTTCAGTCACTTTCACCTTTCAGGGGTGGTCTCTGCCTGAAGGGAAACTGGGTTGTGTGGAAAGTCTGAAGAAAAAAAAGAACAGGAGTACTTGTGGCACCTTAGAGACTAACAAATTTATTAGAGCATAAGCTTTCGTGGGCTACAACCCACTTCTTCGGAAGAAAAAAAATGTATCCTGTTGTTTGAAGTAAGGGGGGGGAGAATACACATGGGGGTATGTGGGAGGGGCAGGGAATCTTGTAACATTTTTCTCACTAGCCCCACAGCCCAGTCAACTGGGGGTTGAAATTGAAATTTGTGTAACTACCTTGGAGAAATCCGCTTCAGGGGGAAACGTTTCTCAGCGCCCTGGGGCAGCTTGTTTGGAAGGAAAGAAAGCAGCCCGCTGTGCGTGAGCAGTACCCCTTGCACAGAAAGAGAGCAGTTAAGGTTGGAGAGGAAGGGTTGCCCCATAGTCATGGCACTAGACTAGGACTGGGGAGATCAGGGCTCCATTCTAGACTCTGCCACAGAGTCCTTGGGCAAGTCATTTAAGGGTAAAAATTTCAAAAGTGCCCTAAATGACTTGGGAGTTTAAATTTCATTGCCGTTCAGAGCTGAAGTCTGTCGTAAAAATGGGACTTAGGCTTCTAAATCACTTTTGGAAATGTTACCCCTAATTGCGTGCCTTGGTTCCCATCTGTACAATGAGGATAATCTTTCCTCTCCTCCCCTTTTGTCTTGTCTCTTTAGTGCCTATCTTCAGGGCTGGGGCTGCTTTGTGCTGTATATGTGTATGTATGTACCTACCACAATAAGGCCCTGATCTTGGCTGGGGTCTCTAGGCACTACCATAATACAAATAAATAATCGTAAGGAGGGTTGCTGTGCGCATATGGGTGCCGAGGCTGCATGCTGAAAAGTGAACTGAAGGTGTAGCCCTGCTAAGGGTGGGGGACTCTGCCTCTGGGCTCTGTAGCAGGCCAGCAGCTGTGCTAGGTGTCTGCCCAGTGGAGCGCAGAGTCTGTGCTGGAGCAGGGGCTCTGAAGGCTGGTATCCCACAGCTCCTGTGGCTGGCAGGTCAGGTTCCCTCTTCCGCAGACCTTGTAAGGGACCTGGAGAAGGTGTTCTGGTGGGACCTAGTGAAATCGTTCCAGGTTAAGGAATTGACCTAAGAAACATCCTTTAAAAACTCCATTAAGAGAACATGCAGGCTGCGTGGTTAAGAGCGCAAGAGTCAGGGAGGAGGGGTATTGAGGCTCCGGAGTTAAGGTGTTTGGTCAATTTACCCAGTGAGCCAGTGGTAGTCAGATGGAACCCAGGAGTCCTGGCCCCCCTGTCCTTACAGTTACCAACACTGCCTCTGAAGGGTTAACATTAAACCACTAACCTTTGCTCTCCTTTCCTTCTACAGGCCTTGCCATCAATTCAGATTCCGGTGTCACCACACATATTCACCAGCATCAGCTGGGCTGCTGCCACCTCCACCATCCCTTCTCTCTCCCCAGTGAGTCCTGCTTGCTTGGCTCTTTTTTCTTTACACGGTTAATTGCACAGCACCTTTGAAAGGGTGATCGAGTGGGGGTGAGAGGGCATAGGGAGTGGGAGTTTTAAAGAGAACCTGGTTTAGCCTTTGTCACTCCCTGAAGCTTATGTGCTGTCTGAGGGGAGATCTGTGCATTGCCACCGACTCAGAGGACATGGCATCCCATGGGTTGAGCGATGCAAGAACATATCTGTTCTCTGTGCTGCTTTACGCACGCAGTAAAATCAGTCTCCATGGGCTATTGTGTACAGAGGCTGGGCTGGATCCGTCTGACTGGACAGACCTCCTCAGCAGAGAGCGAACTCTGTCTGATGTGTGTGATGACTCATAGATCTGGAATTGATTCTCATGTGCAGGTTCGAAGCAGATCACTGAGCTTCAGTGAACACCAACAGCCAACACCAATGCTGAAGTCACACCTGATCGTCGCGTCTCCTCCCAGGGCTCCCAGTGGCACCAGGTAAGAGTTCACAGGGAGGGGAAGCAGGGTGGGGACCATGCTGCCCTGGTACTGTTGGAGGAGAGTGTTAGCATAGAAAGTAATGAGCAGATACCACATCCTGCACAAGGACAGTCGGGTGTGGTTACACCATTGCAGATGGGACAGTGAGGGAGGAAGGATGCTGTTGTGGTTGTGTTGTATTAATTTAGGTGGACTGTATGGGCCCAAAGAGTCAAAGGTGTTAACGTGACCCTGTCACTGACCAACATTAAACAGTGTTAAACAAGGTTCGGGGTTTGGTAGAGAGACTTAGTACCACGGCAGACACACCATTTAAACATCCTTTTATTAAAGATGCACACAAAAAAGGAAAAGCAGTTAAAGCATTTGAAATGTAAAAGTATCAAGTGAGGCTCTCCTTTTAACCACATCCCTTGTTGCCTTTAGGTGATGAGAGTTTTTAGATGGAAAAACTTCTTGTTTGAAAGTCTTTCGGTGGTATGAAAGATGGTTGTAACTCTCCTTTTTGGGGGAAACATGGGACTGAAGACCTGGGTTCTCTTCCCAACTGTGCAACAGACTCTCTGTGATCCTGGGCAAATCACTTAACCGCTCTGTGCCTCAGTTTCCCCATCTCCCGAATGAGGATAATAATAATATTTTCCCCAGCAACTTAGTGAGGCTAAGCGGTTTGTGGCAGCGGCCATCTTTGTTCTGTGTTTGTACGGCACCTTGCACTGTGGGGTGCTGCTCCATGAGTAGCTGTGGTAACACAAATAATGTCCCCAGAGTTCTTTGAGATCCCCAGAGAGAAAGTGCTGTCCAGGGGCCAACTATTATTGACTCACTTCTGCCCTAGCCCAGATCTCTGGCCTTGTCTCCTACCAAGTTTCCTCCTATCTCCTCCACTCTGCACAGGAGGACAGCCTTGTATTTCCTAAGCCTCTTCCATGCAACCTCTGCCAGTCCCTGTTAACCAAGCCACCAGCCTCTCGTGGCTCCGGAGCCTCCCTTTGAACTCTCTTGACTATCTGGCTTAAAGAAGCGTGAATTAAAATAATAAGAATGAGAGGTAATGAAACCTCCAGATGTGCACATACCCAAACTGGGTCATCCTGTGACCTCGCTACAGACCTTGTCCTTCCTGTGTCATGTCCCCGGCTAGCTTGGAAACTGGCATCAGCACCTTGTCTTTTGATATGTTCCTCTGAGGTGCCCAGCATGCTTTTGGGCACTGTAGAAATCATTGATGCTCAGGGACTGGGTGATCTAGGATGGTGAGATGTTGATGGGGATGTTTTAGAGGCATCTAATCTTCTCCTGTGGCTATTTTGTATTGGTTAAAGCCTCATCACCCTTCCAGCCTGCATAGCCTCCTTGCTGGGGCTTTTGCCTGAATAGGTCTCTTCTACCCAACCTTTTTAGCCTTGTACAAGACATTAACAGAGTAGCCCACACATGTCTAATGTGCATCCAGGTGATAGGCCTGGTGCTGTCACACCAGCATAACTCTACGTTGGGCAGGGATCTACACTCGTGGTCCCCTGAGTAGGTTAGTGCCCTGCAGGGGAATTGCCCCATGTTCCTGAGAAAACACCCGAAACCCAAGAAGCCTTCACACGTTCAGGAGACCAGGTGCATTCCTGTATAGTCCAGGATTACCCTGGGGGCCTTCCTCAGCAAAGCCCAGAGCTGACCCGTCCATATTTCAAAAGCTGTGTGAGAATCTCCTGCAGGAGCCTCAGTATCTCCTATCCCCATCCCAGAAGGCTCCTGTTGCTCTGGGGCCCCAAACCTGAGGGGTCAGTTGCTGTCCTCTGCCCCCTTCCATCTTGTTCCTGTTTAAGAAAGGGAAATGACGATGTACTTTCTGCCAGCCCCAGCTCTGGCCTGGAGCTATGTGTGGCAGTATATAAATAACGGACCTCCACTGTACCATACTTTGGTTCTCTGATTTCTGGAGACTAGCCTTCAGGTGAAGCCATCAGTCTTTCCCACCCTGTTAATTTATGTCAGGCCCATATCTGTTCCAGTGTGTCCCTGCAATCCAGCAAGCTGTTGTACACTTGGCAACTTCTTCCTCTTTGCTGTCTGCATGTAATAGCTTTGCCTAAATACCTAATAACTGGGAATACTATTCTTCATTTCTCCTCCTAAAAACTCTTGTGTAGCACTGCTGGTACAGAGCAGCTGCCACGCTCCACCCCAGAGGTGACTGCATTTCAATGGTGGATGACTGAACTCTGTACACCTCTACCCTGATATAACGCTGTCCTCGGGAGCCAAAAAATCTTACCGCGTTATAGGTGAAACCGTGTTATATTGAACTTGCTTTGATCCGCCGGAGTGCACAGCCCCGCCCCCCTGGAGGGCTGCGTTACCGCGTCCTATCCGAATTCGTGTTATATCGGGTCGCGTTATATCGGGGTAGAGGTGTATGTAGTTTGTCTGCTGCTTTGTGACTCTTCAGAATGAAAGCGGGTATTATTATGTATTTGAATTATTGCCCCAACTAAGATCAGTGAAGACCCCTATTATACATAGGCATTGTCTATAATACACATAGTAAGAGACCCAAAGAGCTTATGATTTAAATAGACAAGAGAAATGAAGTGTGGGAGAAAGGAAGTGGTGTTATCCCCATTTTACAAATGGGAGTTCATAACACAGATCAAGTGGTTTGCCATGGATCACACATGGAGTCTGTGGCAGAGCTGGGAATTGACCCTCTATCTCGTGAATCTCAGTCCAGTACCTTAACGATAAGACCAGCCTTCCTCTGTATTAGAATTCTAATAATGATGCCATGGAGATGACTAGTATTGCTGAAAAGAAGGAAACGCTTTGCTTTGAATTTCCACTTTCCTTGGACTTTGACGTAGGCCTGGTCTACAGCAAAAAGTTAGGTCAACCCAGCTACGTCACTCAGGGGTGTGAAAAATCCACACCCTTGAGAGACTCAGGCCTTGTTTACACTTGCAAGTTAGAGCGCATTAAATCAGCCCCGGGCGCCCTAACTCCTGAGGTGTCCACGCTGGCAAGGCACTTAGAGCGCCCGGACTCCGCGGCTGGAGCACTCCTGGTAATCCACCTCCACGAGAAGCATAGAGCTTGCTGTGCCCAGGCTGGAGCGCCAGGGTGTCAGTGTGGACGACGTGTTGCATTACTGCGCTGTGATTGGCCTCCGGAAACATCCCATAATCCCCTGAAGTCAAGTGGCCACTCAGGTCATTGTTTTGAACTCGGCTGCAGGAATGCGGATATTCCCTTTTAAAGCTCCGTTTCTGACAGCCAGCATGCTTGTCTGCTCCAGGACAAAAAGCAAACCATTACTGTGGAATGCTCCTGCTGTAGAGGCGTGCGTGTGTTTGTGTGAGAGAGCGGTGGGGGTCGATGTCAGGCTTCCCCCTGCCACTGTCTGAACTTACAAGATAGCATGCTGACACATGCTGCCCCCGATGCTTTGCAAACCCTTTCCAAAGCACGCTGCAGCCACATGCACACTGGGATAGCTACCACAATGCAATGCTCTCTGTGGCGTTGCAAGAGCTGCTAATGTGGACATGCTCCACAGCCACAAGGAGCACCGTGCGAACACACAGCAGCGCTTTCCCTGCTGCTGTCTCAGGCCTTGTCTTCACTTACCGGCGGGTCCGGCGGCACGCCATCGATGTTCTGGGATCGATCCCGGGGGTGCCCCCGGACGGCGGCGGTACCCCAGCTCGCCGAGAGGAGTACGCGGCATCGACGGGGGGAGACTTCCTGCCGCGTCTGGACCGCGGTAAGTTCGGACTAAGGTACTTCGAATTCAGCTACGTTATTAACGTAGCGGAATTTGCGTACCTTAGTCCGATTTGGGGACTTAGTGGGGACCAGGCCTCAGAGGGCTGGTTCAACTCCCAGCGCTCTACATCTGCAAGTGTAGACGTAGCCACAGTTAAGCTGACCTAACCCCCAGTGTAGGCAGTGCTAGGTCAACAGAAGAATTCTTGCGTCGACTTAGCTACTGCCTCTCAGGGAGATGGATTACCTACACCTACGGGAGGTTCCCTCCTGCCAGCATATGTGGTGTCTAGACTGAGGTGCTCTAGCAGTGTAGGCGCAGCTGCGGTGTTGTAACATTTCAAGTGCAGACAAGCCCTTAGAATTCTAGAAGCTGCCCCATAGGAAAGAGATGGTACAGTGGGTTCAGCCCATCTCTCTGCTATTGCAGGATTGCTGTCTACTGTGAATGTCTAATGCTTTGTTCACACTGGGGCTTCCTACTCAGGTTTAGCTCAACCTTGCATTGCGTCGCACACGCTCTTTTCTCCCCTGAGCTCTGTAACGCTTTAATAACCATGTCACCGTCTGGGTTATTTTTGTTACGCTGCAGAAAAGTCCGTGGCGAAGCCAAGAAATGCCGTAAAGTTTATGGAATTGAGCACCGAGATCAGTGGTGCACGGCCTGCCGGTGGAAAAAGGCCTGCCAGCGGTTCCTGGATTGAGCACATGAACGTTTCAGGAGTATTGAATTTCTCTCTCTCTCTCTCTCAGCCGAGAGCACCCAAAGTTGGTCATTACTGCAACCAGGGCACAGCAAACTTGGAGGTATCTATCTCCTGTGGCTTCAGCAGAGATCTCAAGAGCTGCATGTAAATTCCAAGTTCTGTATATTGTATGTCAGCTGGATTTATTAATTTTTTTACACTTTCTGTGGGTTTTTTACAAATGTTTTTAAAAACAAAACTAAACTCCCATTTTATAGTAAAAATAGGGAAGGAAAGAAAGAGCTGGTTGCTTGGTGTTCAGAGGAGACTTGTTATTTGGTGGTCCAGGGACCAAAGAACTTTTTACTGATCTCCCAGCTCAACAGTAAAGTCTACTGAACTTTCAGGTCAGTAGCTGGGATAAGGAGGTGAGGATCATCTCTCTCTTACTTGACTGGCTAGAAAGCTCGAAGTCTGCTGTTGTTTAAAGGGACACGGTCAGAAGAATAATCATAGTTCAAAAAAGGAAAATGATGTTCATGCTTTACTAGTAACACCTTAAATTATTGGAATGGGAGGAATTTAAAGTTCTTTCCTTTGCTTTTTACCAATGATACTGTGTTTACTCTTTACAGCTCTGAGCTCTGACAGTAAAGCTGGACTTGCTATGTCTCCGGTCAGTTTCACTTCCTGGTTTTTATGTGTTCTGATACATCTGCATCAGCAATGTTGAAATCTTAAAATATACAGCTACATATATTTTTATCTTTTAATTGAAAATTTTTTTTTAAATGAAACTACTTTTTTTGTTTATCTTAGATTCATGAAAACAACTTATTTCTTTGAAAAACAGAAATTTTGGGTCTAACAGTGTCTCTTTAAACTACAGGGAATGGGTTTTTATTTTGAAACCTGATGTAGCTTTCTGCAAAGTTGGCAGGATCAATATTGTTAACCCAAGAGGACTAAAAAGGATGGACACACAAAAATTTTAGGCCCCAGTTCAGCAAAATGCTTACATACATTTTTACATTCTGTTGAAATCAGTGGGACTAAAGTACATGCTGAAGGAGTTGGGATTATTTGCATGCTTAAAGATAAGCACGTGCTTATGTCATTTGCTGAATGAGCATCATAGATAGGTAGGTTACGAAATTCTGAAGTGTGAAAGATGTCTGAACCCAGCTTTCTGGCTTTCATTTTTTAAAAATTCATATTCTCTTTACATGATTCAAATGTTTCTGGTTTGATGATCTGTCTTTGTGTACAGTTTACCGTCCTCATGGGGTAGAATTTGTCCCGGTTTGCCTGATTCTCACTTATAGCAGTGTAACTTCAGGGGAGTTACTCCTGACTTGCACAGGTTTAAATAAGAGAAGAATCAAGCCCAAGGAGTCTTTCTGGAATTGCCGGGGGAGGGGTTGGGAGAGCTGGAGGGAAAGATCAAAGGTTCCAGAGGCCCCTCTGATTTTTGGAGAGGAGCACCATTTAATTCACCACCAGCAGTCAGGTCCAATTTTTATTGTTTTTGGTCTTTGCTCTCATGACTGATCAGCCACATATAGGAAGTGCCCAATCTACTGTCTGAGCTGTGAAAAGCCACTTGGCAGCAAGTGCAGTCCAGCCACAATACCAGCACACACATTGCAGCTGCTGTGAGGAGCAGCAGAGTGCATCCCATGGCACAGTGAGCTGTCCTGTGGAAGTTTGGCCCTGCATGGACAGGACCCTGGCGACCAGGATGCTAGTGTCAGTGTCTCCGTCCATCTCACTGTGTGGCCTTGGAGCACAAAGGCAAAGAATTTTGTTCCATACGTCCCCATTTTGTGTCTTGGGGAGTCAGTGGTTGTTTCCATAATTGAACCCAGTACGGCATGCGATGGTAGCAGTGAGGGTTGACTGGACACTGCCCCCGGAGTGTGCCATTTTGATCATGTTGAACTCAGTGGGTGTCACAAAAGTGCTCTGGCATAGTTGCTAAGGAGCCATGGTTTCTCTTAACGGGGCAAGGAATGCCCCTGTCACTAAAGCCATTCAAGTGCTACACTCTGTTGTGCAGAGAATCCTGGCGCTGTGAAGTCTGTTTTGTTTGTAAATACAAAATGGCAGCTACGCACCAGCCATGTGGTCCATGTTGTGCATAACTCGGCTGCAGTCAGAGTTGAGGGTTTTGTATTAATGGGCGTGGGTGGGAAGGGGGTCATTGGACTTTTTGCTGCGTTTTTGATAATCATAGGCCATAAACTGCAGACCTCAACCCATGGGCAAGGCAGAAACAAGCCTGGTGTATTTTTAAGGACCATATGATTGACTACACTTTCTTTGTAAAATCAGTTCATGTGACCAGGAAGGTGTTGTTTCCTCCCGGTTCAACGTGAGCCTGGTTGATAAAGGGGCAGGTGGTGCAGTCAAAGGGGGTTATATATGGGCGTGCTTATTGGTATTTTTTTTTGTAATTTTGTACATATATACAGTATATTGTTTTAGAACCCAGTCTTCTGCATGCTGTTAAATTGGTGGATGCCAAATTGGCCTATGGGAAGCAGGAACAAAGTGAGTGTGTCTCCTCCCTATTTGTTTTTTTTTTTACCTAGTCCACTGGTTCTCCAGTGGGGTCTGAGCCAATGGAATCAGCTAGGTCTGATTCAATAGGGTCAGGTTCTCTACCTGGGTCCATGTGGGTCTGATGCAAAGTCCATTGAAGACAATGGGAGTCCTTCAGTGACTGCGGTTCAGACACTTTATGAAGGAAGGAGTCCATAAGAGGCCCTCTCTTACACTTCAGTCCCTCCACTGTGACTCTTACTCAGATGACCACCATAAAGAGCTAGCAGTTTGAGATCCACTGGCTTAGTCTAATGTGAGAAATATGGATTATGAAAGCAGACAAGTTGCTGAACAGGTGACCTTTAAAGGAAAACTGCAGTGATTTGTCATAACCGGTGTTATTAAGCCCCAGGGAGGTATTATATTTGACTAAATACTGTAAAGGAATGACATTTCAAAAGAGATTTCAGACACAGTGGTTGCTCTGCCTCAGAAGTACCATTCAGAGAAAGGGGTTGATGATAGTCAGTTGGGGCTGCCATTTTCATGGTGAAGAATTGTGCTTCCCTACTTGAACCCTGACAGGACATAGTTGAAAATCGGGCCGTTCTAAAATATTTTCTATTTCTTTTTAAATGTTTCAGTTGATTTAATGGTTTGGTTTTAACCAACTTCTTGTATTAATCAAAAACAATGTAAAAACCCCACAAACCTTCAAAACCGTCTAATTTCCAGGTGTTTTTACTTGACTTGAATTGGCTGAATCCTAACCTGCCAATGCACCTTTCTGTTTATTAATCATCCGTCTTTATTGTATTTCAGGCACTAGGGGCCTACTCTTGCAGTGCTTGTATGAGTACTCCCAGTGACCTCAGCACTGCAGTGGGACTACTCACATGAGAAAGGGCTGCGGAATTGGATACATAGCTCTTAAAAGCAGTGGTTAAACTATCTTTTGGGTTACACTGCAGTTTTCCTTTGAGGCTGACACCTGTGCCCACTGATAAAATTATGAAAGGAAACCGCTTGTCTCCCAGTTTGAACTCTTGATGTTGGATGCTGCTTACTTGCATGCAAGTGCTACTGTGTTTTTTGCACTCGAGTTATGGAAGGTTAAAGTAAAACTGACTAGAACCATCGCCTGCAATTCAAATACAAGTCTTTTTTGAGGCCCCAAAAGTTCAGATTCTGATTTTATTAGTTGTTTTTCATTCCCAGTTCTGGAACCAGAGAAATGCCTCATCTCTTATTCCTGGCTCTGTGTTTAAGGTTTTCATCTCTCATTACTGTAGTATCTGAGCACCTCAGAAACTTTTAAATGTATTTTTTTCTCACAACACCTCTGTGAGGTAGGGTAGTGCTAGTGTTCCTATTTTACAGGTAAAGAATTGAGACACAGAGAGCCAGATTTCTAAATGTGCTAGATGCCTGTTATGGGGCTCCCCATCCCAGAGCACTGCCTTATGGCGTTGTCGTCTCTCTGTCCTGGAGAACCCTCTTGTGATGGAGTCATCTCTCTCGTGTAGTGGGGTACTTGGCCCTCTGGCTATCTCCCTCTAGAGTCCCACCCCTTTTGGGCCATGTGTCCTTAATGTCCTTCATCAGTATTAAAACACACACAGGGAACCAAAAAGTCTTCTGCCCCACCCGGGGTCTTCAGTTCCAGTCTCTACACCGAGTGACAGCAAGTGAAACAGTAACAGCAACTCCCTTCCAGCTTTATGAGTTTGAGATTTCAGTCTCTCTTCCAGTTCCCTTTAGTCCTCTGACCTATTGTCAGGACACTGACCTGCAGGGCCTCAAGTCCTGCCCCCCCCTCCCTAGGGGGCCCGCGCCTGTAGTTAATCTTGGCACCTGCAGATTATTCCGCTTTTCCCCCTGTCACCAATCTGGTCACCTCACCAGCTGCTATGAGGAGAAATCCAACCTTCTTGATCCCCAGATGTGTTTTAAGCCTCCAGAGTCTGGAGCTGTTCCAATCTTGAGATTCCCTACGCATACTCTTGGAGCACAGATCCTCTAACACTCCCTCCAGAGAGCTGTGACCTCGCCATCCACTACCCAGCGCCTGGAACCAATGCTGAGACACTACAGACTCCCCTTGTAGCTTAAACACTCCGCTTCCCAAAACCACACCAAAAGTGTGAGCCTTCTGGGTTACCGTTCAACCCTCTCAGGGGACGCATAGTAGTTGTGACATATAATAGACACTTTGCGCAGAGTTCTCGAACGCTGCTGCTCTTTACTGAATCATACAAGAAATACACAGATCCATACAAAAATTAAAAAAAACTATGCTCATTTCCCTGCCTCAGTTTCTTCACCAGGGCATTCTTTGGGCTGGTGTCAGAGCCTCTGGGACCAACCAGGTCCTTCTGCTGTGGACCGTTGGGTTCTGAAACATGGAGTCTTCTCCCCAGCTCAACTACTAGTACTTTCACCTTGACTGATCCATGTCTTTCCTTCCTTCTTCCCAAATTTCCTGTGTGTCTCACTCTTCTCCTGACCTACCCAACCTCTGTGTTCTTTAAAGTCTAGCATTAACACCTAGGTATCTTTGTTCTGCTTGGTACCTTTCTGTTCTCCACTTCTGGTTCCTTCCTTCAGAGAGGTAGGGTAAAACTGTTTTTCCCCCTAGGCCTAAACTCACCCACTGTTCCAAGGCGTTATCACTTATTAAGTTCTAAGGACCTTCTGTTGTATCTGGTCTACTAAGAGGATGTGATCCAGCCCTGCTTAGCCCATAGTGGATACGCATAGCTGGAGGAACATTTGTGATACAGCATTTTTCATGGTAACCACTTTATAGTAACTTTGTAGTATCAACCAGAAGTTATAAATTGTACAGATATGGGGTGTGACAACTTGGGGGATCTATATCAAGGTCCTTCTTCAGACTTCCCCCCCCCCGAAGAGGAGTTCCATCCTGCATTTCCTCTTAAGTTCCTCTCCTCCCTATCTGGCCACGCCCTCTCCAGGTGTAACCAGCAGGGTCACTCAAGCTCCCCAGCTGTTCACTAAAACCTTCTTTGCTGAACTTCTCAGATCAGCCCCAGCCCAGGGCAGTTACCCCAGGTGCAGACCAGCTCCCCCTTAAAGGGGCCCAGTCACCCCATGACACCATTTAATTCCCATTGATTTCATTGGGAGTTAGGCACTTACATACATCTGATCCAGAGAGACTAAGGACCAGATTTCTAAAGATCCAGACATAGGCACCTACTGGGATTTTTCAGAATCCCCTACCTCATGGGAGGCGTAGTAAGGAATTGAACCCCCAAGTCTTTTGAGTTACAGCCTAGCACCTTAATCACTTGACTGTCGTGTCTCTCAGGAAGTGGAGAGGTCCAGAAATCTTATTAGAGAGCCTATTTTATGACCTTCTTAGAACAATTTGCAGACTTCAAATAAAGCCATCTTAGCAGTTTACTGATTGTAGTCTCCTCTCTCTCTCCAGCCCTGAGATTGGAGGAACAGGACACAACTCACCCTGCCCACCCGTCGCTCGCTTTCTCTGGGACTGTTGGGCCCTTCTCTTGCTTAGGACCCTGCAGTTCATAAGGTTAATCTGGGTCACTCAGGAAATTAAAATAAGCATCCAGACTCAGGGGTGCTGATCAGACCAATCCTATGAGCCTCTTTAAGGTTCACCCCTCAATAACTGGCATTGAACAATCCAGAGTCCCCAACCCAAAAATTTGTATGTGTTTTTTATATATATATAAAATGTTTATTTCAAGGATAATTGTTTTGCTGACAGAAGATTGGGTTTTGAAAAAAAATAACATTTTGCTTTTGTTAAATGTGATTTTTAAAAAACGTGTAAACGACTTTGGAATAAGCAGTCACCTACAGAATCATGTGGTATACAGTATACCCTCGCTAAGCGGCACAAACTCTTAGGACAGAGAGGAATGCAGAATTTATCTGCTATTGCCATGGTATCACAGGCGTGTGTGGGATGGGAGGAAGGTAGGCAGGAGAGAAGTATTACACCACTAACACACACTAAATACTGTCCACTGGCTTTTTTCCCCTATTTTGCAGCACCTTTGTTTATACACATAACCATCTTGCAATGCCTGATTCCAAAATGAAGAGCACTTAATAATAATAATAAAAAAAAGATCTTACATAGGAATATTTTGTATCAGTGTTTTTTAAAAGATTTGAAAGGGGATAGGGGATTCTTACACTTTATTTTGAGGGCTTTTGCGGTACAGATTTAACTGGACAAAATAGTTCTTAACCATATGGTGGTTGTTTTATATGTGGGTGTTTTTTTGTTGGAACAGCTGGTGCAGGTATTTTTTAAATTTTATTTGATTACACTTTTTTATTTGTTGGCAGATATGACACAGCAAGATTTTTAAAAGTTTTTTTGTTTTTTCTTCACTTTTCTCAGCCTAATTTTCTAACTTGCTTCCAACCACACTTGGTAGACTCTACTTTTCCTTCTGTCACTCTTGTATATGCATAGACTCCATGCTTTAGAGCTTTTCTAATCTTAAGCAAGTCCCCCTCAACCTCCAAACATTAGGTAGCCCTGACCTGTGAATTCAGCTAAGAAACACCTCCCATATGCCCCTGTTTGGTCTGATTGTCTTTTTGTGCATGTATGTACATAGGAACCTTTCTGCTAGGCATTAACTGGAGTGTGTTCAGCCTACACGTTGTGACCCTTCATTGTGGATGGGAGATTGGACCTCTAAAAGAAGCAAAGCAGTTGTGTTGTGTGAAGTTCAGCACCTGGTGACCCCCCCCACCCCATTCTGTCACTCTACACCTCCACTGGATTAAAGTAATGGGAAGTCTTCAGGTAGATACCCAAAGCTAGGGTAGGGTGTAACTTGGTTCTTTGTGGAGTTATGGGATATGAGAAAGTGTGGAAAGGATGGGACATTTGTCGCCAATAGCTGCTCTTTGGCATGCTATTCAGCTTAACGGGGATATGCCGTATCAGTGAATTTCTCTCATTGGAGCTTTTTTCAGCTGTCTTCCAAGTATTATTTTTATTGTAATAAAATAAAAATGTGAAATGTAATTTTTACAGCAGCAATATAAAATATATTTTATAAGAAATAAAATGAAAAGTTGCCTGATATCAGACTGTGTCCTTTTTTCTTCCTTTTGTTTAAGTACAGGTAAAGCAAGAAAAACACTGGGTACTGGACTAGAGTAGCTATTACATGTTTCACTGTTTGGCCTGATGTTCATGTCCCAGAGCGCTGAAGGGAACATTTTTTCCAGCTTGATGTATCTTAACTCGAGACTACTTTTGCTTGGCTAAAAAGTCTTGTTCTTTATACATTGTATTAACCTAGTTTTTAAAGCAGACAAGAGACTGGAATGGCAGCTGCATTGCATCCATTATGTACAGCAGGGGTGGGGAACGTATGGTCCACGGTAAGTCTCCTCGCCATGGGCTGGAAGCCCTGAGCCTCGGCACCCCTCTGCAGGGCTGGAGCCATGAGCGCTCTCTCTCTCTGCGGGGGAGAAGCTAGGGTTGCCAGGCTGTTAAAAGTCCGATTGGCTCTGCACAAGTTCCAGAAGCAACAAGCAAGTCCAGGAAGCAGTCAGCATGTCTCTGGGTCCTGGGAAGCTCCATGTAATGCCCCCACCTCCAGCGCCAGCTCCGCAGAGCTGCCTGGTCACGCCTTCGCCTAGGGGCTGGACAGGCCAGCCACTTCCGGGAGCAGTGCGGAGCCGGGGCAGGCAGGGAGCCACCCCAAGCTCCCTGCCCCAGGTGGGAACCTCATCCCGCACCCTACCTCCCTTCCAGACCCCACACTGCCACCAGCACCCCAAACTCCTGCCCCAGCCTGCAGCCCGCTCCTGCACACCAAACCCCTCATCCCCACCCCAGAGCCCACACCCCCAGCTGGAGCCCTCATCCCCTCCTACACCCCAACACCCTGCCCCAGCCCAGAGCCCCCTCCCACACCCTGAACCCCTGATTTCTGGCCCCAACCCAGGGGAAGCCCTGAGCCTCCGTACCCTCCTGTGGGTCTGGAGGTATGAGTGCTGGCTTGTCTTGCTGCGGGGGGAAGCTCCGAGCCTCTGTGCTCCCCCTCCCCCACGGGTTCAAGGCACTTTTCAGTTCCTTTGAAAAGAAAAAATAGGTCTGGCTGAACTTTCTACGTTGTAAACAAACCCTAAGAACATAAGAGCAGCCATACTGTGTCAGACCAAAGGTCCATCTGGCCACTGTCAGAAGACAGGATACTGAGCTAATGTCAGGTGCCCCAGAGGGAATGAACAGAGCAGGTAATCAAGTAATCCATCCTGTCAGCCATTCCCAGCTTCTGGCAAACAGAGGCTAGGGACACCATCCCTGCACATCCTAATAGCTACTGATGGACCCGATCTTCCAAGAACTTATCTAGCTCTTTTATGAACCCTGTTACAGTCTTGGCCTCAGGGCAATCCCCAGGTGGCTGCGGGGCCCGGGTCACTAGAAACTCGGTGCCTATCTGCCAGGGGGTGCTCCACCCAGCTCCGCCCAGGTCTCCCCCACACTGCACCCCTTCCCCCAAGGCCCTACCCTCACCCCGCCTCTTCCCACCACCGCCCTGCCTCTTCCCGCCCCACCTCTTTCCCGCCCAGTTCCACTCTCTCCCCTGAGCACACTGCACCCTCGCTCCTCCCACCTCCCCCCCAGCACCTCTTGACGCCGTGAAATATCTGCTCCACAGCAGGCGGTAGGTGCTGAGAGGGAGGGGGAGGCACTGATGGGCAAGGCCCACCTGTGGGCAGGAGGCACTGGGGAAAGGGGGTGGTTCTGGTAGGGGGGCTCCTCGCCCCACTTGCCATTCGTCTCCTCACCCCGCTTGTCCGCCCACCTCCCACGTCACCTCCCCGCCTGCGGGACCCCCACAAAGCGCGGGGCCCGAGGCAGTCACCCTGATTCACCATACCCAAGGGACATCTCTGCTTGGCCTTCACAACATCCTTCGGCAAAGAGTTCCACAGAGGTTCAAGGCAACTTTACAGTTTCCTTGGGGAAAAATTAGATCTGGCTGAACTTTCTACATTGTAAACACACCCTCTGCTTTACCACCCATTTTTTGCTTTGGTTCTGCTTGGTACCCATTTTGCCAGCTGGCTTGAATGGAGTCACAAAAGAAGGTCAGGTAGTCTTTCTCAAAATCCTACATTGAGTGAGCCGCTCAGCTAGGACTGAAGGATTCAGTCTTGCTAATTCCCCATTTTTATTTCTAACCCCAGTTGCCTTTCATGAGAAGCGGATCCCGTCAAAGCAGTGGGGGCACTGAGGTGGACAGAATTTAATGGCAGAGACCAGCTTTATGTTACGTGTTCATGCAGCACTTAGCAAAACAGGGACCCGTTCCTTGGCTAAGGCTCCTGGGCACGACAATAATCCCATTCATGATGATGAACCCATCTGTAATTTGGCTATTTCATCTCTATCTGCCTCCATCTCTTTTATGTGAATCCTGGCCTGAGTAATAGTTCATACTGAATAAAACTGTGTGTGGGGGGAGGGGAGCCTATTCTCCCTTCTGCAAGTGAAGAGGGATGAGAGGCTCCACTGGGTCTAGGGGACATGGAATCATTGTGCTGTCTCTGCAGTATACTCCTCCCCCCAATCCCACAGAAACCCTTTTCTGGGTACACTGAGGGCAATGGACTTCACACGAATCTGAATGCATGAGGTAGGCAAGAGCAACAGGACTGGCCTTACCATGAGGCGAACTGAGGCGGCTGCCTCAGCTGCCAGACTGTGGGGGGACGCCTCTAGGACCCAGGGGTAGGCAACCTATGGCACGCATGCCGAAGGCGGCACGCGAGCTGATTTTCAGTGGCACTCACACTGCCTGGGTCCTGGCCACCGCTCTGAGGGCTCTGCATTTTAATTTAATTTTAAATGAAGCTTCTTAAATATTTTAAAAATCTTATGTACTTTACATACAACAATAGTTTAGTTATATATTATAGACTTATAGAAAGAGACCTTCTAAAAACATTAAAATGTATTACTGGCACGCGAACCCTTAATAAACGAAGACTCGGCACACCACTGCTGAAAGGTTGCCGACCCCTGATCCAGAGTGTAGAAAATTGTGTCTGCTGCTGGTGCATATGTATTCTCTCTGCTCTAGATGCAGAGATGGTGGAGTGCTGTGCTGGAGGAAGGAGGGCACAAGAGACATAACAGGCAGGGCCGGCTCTGGCTTATTTGCCGCCCCAGGCAAAAAAGCCTCCGGCCACTCTCCCTCCCCCAGCATGGCAGGGGAGGGCGCGGGGGGCGGCCGGAGCCCCGGGGGGAGGGCGGCGAGCTCCGGCCAGGGATCCGCTCTCGCCGGCGGCCAGAGGGGAGGGCGGCGAGCCCCGGCCGGGGCTCCGCTCTCCCCAGCAGAGCGCCCGGCCAAGGCTCCGCTCTCCCCGGCGGCCAGAGCGCCACGGGGAGGGCGGTGAGCCTGGCCGTGGCCCCGCTCACCCCGGCGGCCGAAGCCGGAGCACCACACCGCGCCACCCCCCTCCAGGTGCCGCCCCAAGCACAAGCTTGGTGGGCTGGTGCCTGGAGCCGGCCCTGATAACAGGCAGGCAGGAGAAAAGGTGAGAGGGAATAACAGAAAGCAGCAGGAGTTGCAGGGAGAGAGAGGAGGTGGAGCCTCTTATGTACCTCTCTAGCACCGCCAGGAGCCCGGACTGATTAACACCAGCTTCTCAGGGAGCTTCCTGTCTCCTGTCGCTTCTCTGAACCCACTTGAGGAGAACAGGCAGTCAACTGAAGTAGTAGGAGCCAGTTAGGCCCTTAAGACGCTGATATCTTCCCTCACTCAGGCCCTGCTACCAGCCTGCTTATTTGTCCCCTTCAATTGAGTGTTGAGAGCCACTCTAGCTGGCACAGAACACCAGTCATGAGCGAAAGAAGAAAACGCCCCTCTGGGGCAGCATTTAGAAAAAGCAAGCAAGCAAAGGAAGCTTTTCTATCTAAGCAGGAAGGAGCTCTCCTGAGATACATACACACAAATGTTCACGGTGAGCCTTCCGGCCCCAGTGAGGACGTGAGTGGTGAGGAGATGCCTGATCTTCCAGTTAGTCGGAGTGCAGGTGGCCTGGCAGCTACTGCAGCATCCATATCTCCATCTCAAATGGATGTAACCATGCTCATTCCTGAAGAAAAGTGTAGATCAGA